ATCGAGAGACAAAAATAGAAAAATCGAAATACAAGCGAAAAATCATACTACCTAATCGAGCATACTTCAATCAAGCCTGAATGCTTATGATTTAGGCATGTCAGCTATCAGGTAATCGAAAAAAGAAATGAAATGGGGAATGATTTGGCAGCATACAAAGCGAGAAGGTTCCTCACATTGATAATAATTAAAGACCGTTGAAATAATCGATGTGTAGACTACTCATATGAAAAAAACCACAAAAAATTTGATTTTTGTCGACTTTTTTCTAATAAAACATCGGTTATAATGGCAGTATTTGACTCCGACTTTCTGATATTTAATCAATTTTAAATACTATGGCTATAAAACGTGTTTGTCTTCAGTTTTAACTTAGAAACTCTAAACTTTTATTATTTTTTCTGACTCCGAACATCAACAAACGGTAAGTATAGTACTAGCCCTATCTTTGATACACTCCTACATATGATACTAACTCATACTTACCCGTATAAGCCAAAATGCCGATAAACTAGACTAAAATCCATTAAGACCGAATAATCGATTTTTAATAGGGAAATAATCAATTAAAATCAGATCTTTTTGTTGTTGTTTTTCTATGAGTATACTTAGATGACTCATTCTTCCTTAAGAATGTACATAATCATATTCTGTGAAAGAACTTACGCTATCTTACATGACTATATTTCCTTTCCTCTCAATGCCATAGGAAATATATTGTTTTTGTGCCAGGACTTTGACACATTTCGTGGACTATTATGAATTAAAATAGTCGTTGATTCTTGAGACCCTTCGTGAATCTTGTGTAATATATCATGATTACAAGAAGTTACTGAATGTAGTCGTGTTTTTTATTATCGAAAATACAGCCTAGAATTCATTAGATAAAACCAAACAAATGAGACATACAATGAAATTATTTTTGATTTGTAGAATATCCAAATGTATCCTGCAAATTTTGTTCGTGATATTTTTCGAAAAATTGATTTACGGGTTATGCCGTTCGTCTTTCTTCTCGAATTCAGCTCTTACCTGAATCGAGTTTGCATGGGTAAGTTTCATTATAGTTAAAAATACACACGATTTTATACTCGTTCTTACATAGGACATGCCAAAAACAGTGGTCTAAACGAAGATTTACACGTATCTTCAATAGAAGACAGTTTGGCTGTTTCTCTTGTGTTTCTTGGCTATGTAAGTCACACAAATCTTAATTTTGAAATCGTTTTTTCATCGTATCATATCTAGTTCATCTTCTCCATTCCTTCAGCACTTTTGTTTCTCTATCTTGGGACTACTATCTATTTGTCTATTATCATGTTGGCATGGGGATCTATCAGCATTGGCATGGGATTTGTCAAAACAGTTCCGCAATTACTTGCTTTGCGATTTTTACTGGTAATACTCTTTATTTATGCTGAATCTCTGAATGTATTGCTGAAATTTATGATAGGGAATAACCATCTCAGGCTTCTTTCCAGGCATGTTAGCCTACTTATCACGAATTTATCCGAAAAAGCAGCGAACTATGCGAATCGTCATTTTCTATTCAGCGGCTATTTTATCAGCAGCTGTAGGAGGTATTGTGGTGAGTACAGCAAACGATTGATTTCTGCAGGTCGCTTTGGAGAATGTGAGAAAATCGAAGAGAGAAAAAAATATGCACCAGCTTGATCAACAGTTTAAAGTAAGACTCCAGTCTTTTATAAGTTGTGTTAACTTCATCCGGAAGTTCTCAAAAATATATTGTACATTGTGCTATTTATTCTTTATTGTCATAATCATGTTGAATACAATGAAGAGTTTGTTTCTACTTTACTTATTCTTCTATGACTAGGTTTTCTGCATTGAGAAAATGGATGGCATTGGTGGTCTGCATAGCTGGCGATGGATCTTTATTCTCATTGGCATTCCAGTCATTCTTCTTGGAATGGCTACTTTTTTCTTTCTGGACAACATCTCGAACGCTGTTCGATGTAAGTTGCTGAAAATTCATATCTACTAATTTAACTTACGTTATTTACTAAGCAGATTTAAAGGCTTCAGCAAGAGAAATGCTAACCAACCTTTTACGTGACGATATTGACGCGGATGCTGATGAGTCTTCGGAAGAGAATGGTATAAAGTGGCGCCAAGTATGTCACGTTTTTATTGATGAGAAGATTTGGCTTTTTGCATTGGTAAATGTGGGAAATTCGGCCGTGATAAAAGATTGGATAGCATACTTTCCAAGCCTAATACGACATATAGGGTACACAGATGCAAAAGTACAACTGATGTCGGCTCCACCATATGTGGCAGCATGTATATTCGCTCTGTTAGGTGGTCTGTCTGCAACGAAATTCAACGGGCACGGATATCATGTAGCATTTTTTCTAATCATTTCAGCCATTAGCTTTTCTCTCATGGCAGGTTTCGAGCCAGCTAATACAATAGCAGTATATGTGAGTGGATGTTTCGCATGTGCTGGAGCATTTTCAGCCTTTGCTTTACTGATGGCATGGCTAACAACAAATGTAAGTGGTCGGATAAAAAGAACATTGGCGATTGCATTTGTCGTTGGACTTGGTCAAATCGGTGGAGTAATTTTACCGTTCATAAACTATGATAACAATGTACCTGCTTTCCGTCGGATTCATATCATATCTGCAATTATAATGCTAGTAACCATGTTGCTTACTTTACTTCTTCGATACATTTCTACTAATGCAGCAAGCACGATGATGACGAATAACGATCATGCAGTCGAAGAGATTAATTGAGGGCAACACATGCAAATATCGATGCTCAGCTAAATTTTGTATGACTTCTAAATGACGACGCTAAAACAAAGTGTGTGACATTATTTAATCTTGATTATTAGGATTTTTTCAAAAGCTAATAAAGTTGTTCTCGTTCTATTTTTCTTCTAAAACAAAACGATGGATTTATATAAGAAAGATTAAAATAAATGAAAATTGAGCGTTCCGTATGAAGGTTTTGTTTACACCAAATACTTATTGACATATTGAACGTTGTATTTGTTCAATGATATTGAAGAAGCCGATGAAGAGAACAACAGGAGTAATAGTATTTCCAAAAATTCATTTGTTTTGCTGCCGTTCGTGTCGATAGGTGCACATATACTCTATTTATTTTCATTATTAAATATCTCCAACATTGCTTTTTTCGAACTTCGTCGTTTTCATTTACATTGTCATGTAAAAGCTTCTAAAGCTTGAAGGAAAACATTCGTATCTTGCCGACTCACGGTAGTCCCACAGAAAAACTCATATCACAATTGATCATTATTTGATTTTATGAATAACGAAATTATATTCAGCATTCAAATGAAAATATCAAGACAAATACAATGTTAAAGGAACATAGTAAATGTGAGCATAATTTTTTACTGTCAATGTTATATGGTTCATTATTATCTGCAGATCAATTTTCAATACAAATAAATGCTTTTAATAAAATAATATCACTTTCAGTTTCTATGACCTGATATCAAGTATAATAAAAAAAAGTAAAATATTTTGCAACATTCGAATCTCATCACGACCGATTTGACGCGTTTGTATCCAGACTCATGCTTTCCAGGTCGGATATCCAACTCGGCTGTAGGACATTAATTGGATAATATAAAATACATGAAAAAGTTCACCTTATTCAATTTAGATCGAAAAAAGACAT